GTTGAGACTTTCTTGGTGGGAAGTTGTGATAGCACAGTTTGTGTATATAGTGAGATGTGAAGATTGAGAAATGCAGGAAGACTTGGGCCAGGTTCTCAATCCACACCTTTTCCAGGTTTTGTTATGCACTGTTTTGGAAAGTTGGTACTTTCAGGTTCTTGTTTTGTTTGCTTAAAAACCCAGAGTTGGCTTTGGATGCTCTCTCTATTTGTTTGACTATTTCTGGATGGGTATTTATGATATCAGTTGGATTCAATGCAGCAGCAAGTGTGCAGGTGAGCAATGAGCTGGGAGCAGGAAATCCAAAATCAACAACAAAGCCTGCTGTTATTGTGAGGCAGCAATGGTAGATTTGATATGTTTCAGACTTTCAGCGGCTTCAAAGGCATGATAGGAGTGGCAGTCTGTAAGAGTTATATTAATTTCATATAGCCGATTGGCTTTTAATTTGAAGTTTTGCTCAAAAAGTTTATTCTTTTCAGTTGTGTCCACTGTCCAATTGTGGAACTGGTTTGATTACTACCGTCGTAATATGTTTACCAAGTATATTGTTAATTCATAATATCCTCACTGCCCCAGATTTTGAAATTTTATGGGGACTTAAGGCTTGTTAATGAATTTAAATGGTCTTAATAGGCGCTTGAGAAGCATGGACCAAGTTTATTCAATTTCATACAAAAAATACTATCAGTCATTTGACCATTTCTAGTTGATCTTGCTCTCGAGATTTCCAAACAATACTTGGAATGTGTGTGGTCAGATTTTGCCATGTCTTTTTATCCTTGTCATTTAGTTGATCTAACTCTTTTCATGTTTATAACGCTGCTATTACCAGAGTACCAGATGCTTTTGATTTTTTTTTGTAAACTGTTTTTCTTCATGTTATATGCCTGGTTTAAAGTTAGCAACTCATATATCTTCTTTCTAGTTATATCTCTATGGTTATGTTATCACTATATGTGTAGTTTAAAGTTATTCATAAAACTTAAATTTGTCAGTATATGTCATTGATTTAGTGTTATTTTCTCATTGTTTGATACTCCCTCCGTCCCATTTATATTGTCCCGGAAGAGGGTGGCACGGTTATTAAGAAAAGTGGGTTTGTGTGGTTGATATTAATTGATAAAGTAAGAATAAAGTAAGAATGATTTAGAGCCACACAAACTTTGCCAAATATTGTATGGGACAATATAAGTGGGACTTCCCGAAAAGGTAAAACGGGACAAAATAAATGGGACGGAGGGAGTATAAATTTAGGCAATCGTCTGTCATAACAAAGGCATTCTACCGAATTACTTATTATTATACTTTTAATTTTCAATCCTAAAATTTGTATTTCTTATATCCTATTAACTGTGTGAAAATTCTTCAATAAAAAAAGTGAGCAAGTGTTTTTGTTGAATCAACAAAGGCTAGGATGCTTGCTTGTTTCTTTAAAGAAATTGTCTTTCTGGAATTACAGTATTTTACTTGTTAAAATCGCAGAGACATGTATACACTTGTAATGACCCTGGAGAACTTATGAGGAAGTCCATAACTTATGATGTATTTGTTGCTTGACTTATGGTTTTCTGGTATAATTAGGCAATTACTATTAATTAATTGATATTGATCCATAAGTTTACATCATTGCGGATCCTCTTCTCTCGCACTCTTCTCCTACTAGATGTATATTATACTAGTACTTCGTAAACTGTTCAAGTCTAGTCTGATGTTGAACTGAAAACAGTCAAGTAAAAACTACCCAAGAATATAATGTTGGTGAATCTTGATGCACCCAAAGCTAGAGACCTAAAGATTCGAGATCTTGGTGCCCTGTTACTAGTTTGATGTCATTCACGAAAGCATGATGGTATCATGTTGAATTATAGTTGTAGAAAAATTAGATTGGATAGATTCTTGTATATTTTGTTGGTATTAAAAAATAGATTGTACGATTACCTTGTGTATTTTGTTGGTATTAAAAATAGATTGTACAATTCCCTTGTGTATTTTGTTTGTATTAATACTACTCTTAGTAACAATTTGATTTGTTAATGAAAATAAAGCTCATTGATTTATCAGCATATTTTTCAATTGCATGTAGTTTACGTTTAATGAAATGAGTGGAAAAAAATTCATAGTATTAAAAGTAATATGTGTGTATAATTGTATTAATTAAAGACAAAACGTCAAATAAGGCCTTCTACTATAACAGAATAGTCACATAAGGTCATGTACTCAATAAAGTGTCAAATAAATATGTCTACTTATAAAAAACAATTGGATGAGTCACAACTACCCGTTGACAACCTCCTAGTCTCAGTTATATCTTACGTGTCGTTAGTTTTGCCTAGGGGTGGACTGGACCCGGGTCGGTCGGGTCTAGGTTTTAAAAAAAATGGTTTTTCTTATTTATTCCTACCCCCATCCCCAAACCCCCCCAAACCACACAACCCCACCCGCCTAGCACCCAACCCTTTCGGAAAAAATAACATTTTGGGCCCGGGCCGGTCTACCAAATACCATACCCGTAGCCCGCCCCAAAACCCCCCCGATTCGGGCCCCAAGGCTCGGTCCTGGCCTATCGGTTCTGGCCGTGACCGCATAGTGGCGGTCCGGGTCGGGTATCGGGCTGGTGCGACCGGGCCCAGTCGATGCCTAGTTTTGCATTGTATTTAAGTTAATCCTGGCTAAATATTCCACATTAGCCTTAAAATCTGTTTTAAAAAGATATCCGGATGTACGCAAAAATTGGGATTTCGAGGTTGTCAAAAGGTCCTTATGACTCATTTGATTGTTTCTTATAAGTAGACGTATTTATATGTTTATTGAGTACATGACCTTATGTGATGATTTCATAATACTCCGTAGTAGAAAGCCTTATTTGACCTTTTCCTCTTAATTAAACAATCTTTTGCACTAATGTATCATATCTTTTTATGACACCAAGGTGTCATTAAGTTTAACAATAATAGTATATCGTAGTATTTTGTAATACTAGGGTGTCATTATTCTATGACACTTTATTTGTGACACTAAATTTGATGTCACAATTTTCGACCTTCTATGTAGTCCTGGACTCAGGCCAGGTGGCCCGACCTGGGACCGGTACTGTGCTGAACCGGCCCGGCTCGGCCAGTGACCGGTCCGGGTAGGCCCGACCCGGGGGTTCCCAGTGCGGACTCGGGACACCCAAAAGCCGAATCGGCCCGGTCGGTTAGGGCCCGGTTCCAGGCTTTTTAATTTTTTTCCCAATTTTTTTTTTTTTACTTTTCGGGTTGGACTGTGTATTTTGGGCCATTTGGGGTGGTTTGGAGGGTTGGGGGTTAGGGGGCCGAGGGTTAATTAGGAAAATGAAAAAAAAATTGACCCGAGGCCCGACCCGACCCGGACCCGGTGGCCACCCGGGCCGGTCCCGAGCCCACCTATTCAGAACCGGCGGCCCACTCAGGGCTAGGCCCGGACCCGACCCAACCCGAATCCAGCCCTGCTTCTATGACACCTTATCATGTGTCACTAAAACTTCAGTTGACACTAATTTTGTGTCACTATAGGTTTTTTTCATAGTAGTGTGAGTGTGAAAAGTGCTTAATGAGCCAAAAGAAGCGTATCATCAAATTATGGAGCATCTCCTATGATTTCCCTTTACAAGGCATAGGGGTCTCATCAAATTGAATTATCACTTGTTGTATAGCCCCTTTATCATCCAATTCAAATGCAAGATGCGACCTTTTACTCTACAAATGTAACCTTTTACAGAAGGGTTCATCAAATTTTATACTCTTTAGGAAATATATGGAATCATGCTATGACGATATTATACATAATTCAATTACGAGTACTCTTTTTTATTTCTATTGAAGATTTGAAGATCTTAAAAGGATTCACTTTTTTGTTGGTGAGAATTTCATGAATGCCCAACTGCTCCAGGGGATGACATTGTAATTGATCTTCTTGGGTGGTTTCAAGTGGGCTGACTATTGATTGAATTAAACTTATATTAATATATTGAATAGTTTAAATGGAATAAACAGAAATTTTACCCTATAAGGCTAACCGCAACCCAACCCGTCAATAAATCTAATTTCCCTCCAATTTATACGTACTCACCCAGTCAATTTAGTTTTTCTTCGCAACCCAACACCGTCAATATATTCACTCATCACATATTTTTTAGAATAAAATGCGTAACTTCTTACTTTTTTATTACACATCATTTATATGCTAAATTTATTTTAACAATAATAATGATTTAAAAAGTCAAATATTTCGATGTAGAAATAAATGGATTTGGAGTTTAATTTTTTTGTTACTCAAGATCTATTTTTGAAAAAAGTAACTGAGATATGTTTGGAAAAATATTTTAACAATAAGATCATAATTTTAACACTTGGATTTACATAAAAAAATATTGGACCTAAAAATCTCAACCTGATAAATTTTATTTTTTTTATTTTAACTTTATATAAAAAATATTGATGCCATATGAAAGAGAATAAAAAATCACAAATTTTGATATATTATTTATCAAAATAGGAAAATAAATAAAAAAGTTATAATGATTCAAATAAAATTGGGAATTTTATTTGAAGTGGACCCCCTGTTTTATTCTTCCGACACGTGCCAAAGTGATTGCAAGAACTCCTCTCTCATGGGGTGAATGAAGGTCCTAGCTTCTCACTCAATCGGTTCTCCCAACCCACTATCACTCCCTCAAATACAAAAAAAAAATGCTTGGGTTGCAGCATATTTGGGGTGAAAACCTTAAATTTGGGTGGACCCATTGCGGACAACTTAAATAAGATAGAAATGACTGGGACTTAGACACATCAGAAATTTGTTGTAGATCACAAGATCAAGTTTATTTGTTGGTCACTAGACATCTATTGGGTTATACTCCCAAAAAATGTGCAAATATGAAAGAGTGCTTAAAGAATCAATAGAAGTGTCTCATCAAATTAAAGGCATCTGCTATGACACTTTTACTTCACAAGACATACGGGTCTCATCAAATTAATTATCAATTGTTGTATAGTCACTTTTATTATTCAATTCAAATGTAAAATGCCACATTTTACTTTACAATTGTAACCTTTCACATCATGTCCCATCAAATCTTATACTTTTTAGAAAATATATGGAATCAAACTATAAGGATATTATAAATAATTCAACTTTGAGTACTCTTTTTGTTTCTACTAAAGATCATAAAAGGATTTTTTTTTATCATAGATCATTAAAGGAACTAGAAATGTACACTTAATTTAAAACATGTATCAAAAGAGCTTTTTCTCCCGCTACCGAGGACTGGTATGCTATGCTTTGGAGTTAGAAATGGCCTCTTTGGCGGAGTCAAGGGTGGATACGACCGAAGCCGCGGCGTTGGTCAAGACTGCGCCGCTGGTTTTCTGGTTGCTATGAGTAGTCGGCAGCGGGTGGTGATGGATGATCTCCACCGGTCTCTTTTCTTGCCCTTGCCCTGCAGATGATTGGTAATCTACAGTTTCCACCTTCCTTTCGAGTTGACCTTGTGAATTCATATCCTGACCATCAAGTTTACAGATTCATAAGAATAAAATCCGTGTCATAAGGATCAATATATGGTCGCGTGTAATTTTTTGAAAGTTGAAAATAATTGTTTAATTATCGTAAAATAATTACTTTCATCAAAGAAAGTGTTACTTCACATCGATCACAAAGGTTTAGTCTCACATGACACACAACACATGCATCAATAAATAAAGTCAACAAACAAACGAACAACTTTGTCCATGCATTCGGATTGCACCTCATTACCTATTTACGTCAACCAAGATATCAACCACATTTGGAATATAACAAGTAATGTAAATTAACCCATATACCTTGTTGGTGAAAGAATTCATCATGGAAGCTAGCGAGCTATATAGTTTTGAATTTGGTGAATGGTTTCCAAGCTTTCTCTTTTGGATGATATGAAAAAGAGGTGCTTTTATAAAGTGGTATCGAAATGTTGGTTGATGTTCAATCCTTGCAATATGTATGTATGTATTGGTTTAATTGCTGCGATGTTTCTGGGAATGGGAACTGAGAAGGACCGTTCATTAGTTACCATCAAAACCGATATCCACGAATGTGTCTGGTTCTCGTGGAAGACGTTCATTCCCACCCATTGTTGCCAACAAATCAACCATCACTCAATTCTACATTTCTACCATATACTAGTATATATCTCTACAATCTTATAAGAGCGAATATTGTTAAGGATATAATTGTCATAGAAAATGTGTTGGTGTCTCTTGATGCATAAAGTCATTGTACATCATGTATAATTTTTTGTACTTTTAAACTTATTATTATAACTTGTGTTTAACGGGAAGCGTCTTTCCTGTATATGTTCCCCGTCCCGTCAAGTACTCTTCGCTTGGTTTATTTCCTTCATTCAGCTATATCCTTTCATCTCTTCCCCTTCGTTCAAGCACGTCAATATTAATTTTTGACACTCTACGGTCATGGCGAGCAGACATCGGTTTGGAATCTCTCTGACTCTGGCACGGCAGTTACATTCAAGGTAGTAATCGTCTCTCCCTCTTTTCTAATTCGACAATTGCATACTTGCATCCAAGGTAAGTAGTAATCACCTCTCCCTTTTTTCCTTCACGAATTTACTATTGAAGTGATTCCTATTCAATTGATTACTATTCAATTGATTACGGCCGATGAAGCTCTCCGTAGCGGAACTGTATGAGTGTGTCCCAGGTGTTACTATTATATATTGTTATATCTAAATCGTGGAACTTAGATGTTGCACTCTGATGTTTTTGGGTTTTTATTTACTATACCATTCCTATAGGGTTATAGAAAGTGTGTAGTATCTAACCTTCACTTGTGTTTAGTAAATAGTACTAGCCAGATTAGACATGACATAGGTTGTTGACTTGTTGTTGACCAAGGTGTTTACAACTACTTTACATATGTGTATTTTGTTCATTCCCTAATCAGTGTTGTAAATTTCACTTTAACAAGTGCATTCTTCTATTTGTATTACTCCCTCTGTCCCTAAATGTTTGTCCTACTTTGACATTTTGAGTCAAACTTGTTAATCTTTGACCGCTAATTACTCAAAATTTGTTCCAAAAAAATTATTTAGTGTGATTCTTTGTAATACATATCATTCAAATGTCAATTTATTATAGACTTTATAGGTATATATCAATAGATAAATTGCGGTCAAACGTCTACCTAGAAGACCGCAAAAGTCAAAGTAGGACAAACATTTAGGGACGGAGGTAGTATATTTTTGGGTATAAACTCCAAAACCTTGGAAGAATGTCTTCTTGTGGTCATTTCATCATCACCTAATGAGCTTGTTGCTTTTTTTAGTTAAGGATACCAAATCATTTGTGTTGTGAATTTATCTTGGGTTTAATGAGCGAAATGTGTTTTGTGACGTTTTTACGGTCCAGGTAAAAATAGATAGTTTCCCCCTGTTCAAATTTGCATTGTTTTGGAGATGAGCAGTTCCTGCTATCCTTTTACACTTATTCACTCTTCGAATTTTTTTCGACTTTTTTCATTTCATTTGGAAAATGCAAAGGTATATTTAATTATTGTTGACCAGGGTTCTTACATAGGCATATTTTAGTAATTCCCTAATTTCAGTTTTGTTAATTTCACTTTAACATGTGCCTTCTTCTATTTGTATTATATTCTGGTGTAGAAAATCCAAATTCCTGGATGAGTCTTCTTACAGTTTTATTATTATCAACTACTCAGCTTGTTGCCTTTTTTTAGTCAAGGATCAAAAAGACCATGAAGATGGGTTGTGAACTTGTGAAGTATACTACCACTTCAAGTCCGTAATCAATAAGAAATATGGACAGGATGCCACCGATGTTGGGATGAGGGAGGTTTTGCTCCCAACATCCAGGGGAACAAGTAAGGCCTTGAATTGCTAAAGCCTGCTATAGAGAAGGCATGATATAATGGGAAAGTTGTTATTAGAATGAATGTTGCTGCCTCAGAGTTCTATGGGCAAGACAAATCATATGATTTGAACTTCAAAGAAGAGAAAAATGATGGCTCAAAGAAGATCTCAGGTGACCAGCTTAAGGATCTTTACAAATCATTTGTGGCTGAGTACCCTATTGTTTCCATCCAAGATCCATTCCACCAAGATGACTGGGAAGACTATGCTTAAATCACTGCTGAGATAGGGGAGAAAGTACAGATTGTAGGAGATGATCTCCTCATCACCAACCCTAAGAGGGTTCCCAAGGCAATTGAGGGTAAGTCATGCAATGCTCTTCTTCTTAAAGTTAACCAAGTTGGTTCTGTGACCGAGAGTATTGAAGCTGTGAAAATGCCTAAGAAAGCGGTTGGGGTGTCATGACAAGTCACCGCATTGGAGAGACAGAGGATACGTTTATTGTTGATCTTGTTGTGGGTTTGTAAACTTGTCAAATTAGGCCGGAGCTCCCTGCCGGTCAGAGCATCTGGCCAAGTAGAACCAGCTGTTGAGAATTGAGGAGGTGCTTGGTTCAGCAGTTGTTTATGCCGGAGCCAGCTTCCGCACACCAGTTGAGCCCCACTAAACTAAATTGATGCACAATATAATGGTTGGCATAGAAGAGTATGGGTGGCGACCCACTTATTTAATAATATGAATAAAAACTTTCAAATAGAATAGAAGTTTTGTTCTGTGGTTTCAACCGTTGAATTGCAACAGTTCTCTTCGGTTGTATAATAACCAATATTTCAGTTTTTGAATTCCAAAAAAAAAACTCTAGGTATGTAAGTATGTAAGTATAATGGGCTTTTCTAATTATTTGCAATGTCTTACTCTTATTTAAGGGATTTTCTCTAATTTTATCTCTGCTTTTGTTTTCACTTTGTTTAGAAAAATGGGAATAACCTTGTTAATTTTATGAGGTTTTAGTTGTAATAGAAGTTTTCGATTGTAAGTTGTTTCTTGTATAAGCATGAATAATGTTAGGGGTATTATGGTTGTGTTTGCAAATAATATTTACAAAGTGATTTTCAGCTTTTGACTAAAAAAAAGGTGAAATTAGTGTTTTCAAATAACAATTTCTGTTTAAATTACACATCTATAAGCTAAAAGGTGGAAACAGATGGAGACGTGGTTTAACCTGCTTTTCACTTGTTTTATGATACAAAAAAACACTTATTTTACAAAACACTATCAACTGTTACTTTTTCAAAATCATTTTTATTCAAACACTATCAACTTTACAGTTTTACTATTAAACATTTTCTCCAAAATCACCTTAAAGTTCAATTTTTTAAAATAAAAGCAATCACAACAATACTTGGAAAATAATACTAATACATAATAAGTAACTAATTTGCTTGTAATAGCATTGGGCATTTAGACGAACGCGCATCGCGCGTTGATAACTAGTATAATTATAAATATCATCCTCATTGCCCATATATATTACGTACCCGTAGTATATAAAACTAGGAGCCCCTAGACGTAAAAATCCGTTTATTTTAAGAAAATTGTTAGGAGTATGGCCACAAAATGTGATAATCCCTAAAATATGCTACTCATCTAAGTAATTGCTCCCAAATCCCAATAGGAGCATAACATAATATATTTCCCTAAATAGGAATTAATTCCTAATCTTCCCCAAATAGGAGTAAACATTAACTAATCTTCCCCTAATACCCGTATTCTAATTTATTATCCCCCTAGTTCCCTTGGACAACCAAGGCAGTCTGTCGGTGGCAAGGCAGGGCATTGGTAGCGGGAACAGTCCGGTGGTGGTGGCGGCGGCCGAAGCTCCGGCGACCAACGGAAACCCCCCATTCTAATTAATTATTGCGCCCTAGTTCCCTTGGGCAACCAGGGCAATCCGTCTGTGGCGGGGCAGGGCGTTGGTAGCGGGGGCAGTCCGGTGGTGGCGGTGGAAGACAGAGGCGATCAGCGGCAGAGCTCCGACGACTGTGACGGTGGATGAAGAATGGGTAAAAATTTGGATTTTTTTACCTAGCCGGAGCTCCGGTGGCCGGAGGTACTGTAGCAACAGGTAGCAAACATCAGCTAGGGGTGTGATTTTGGAATCGGGAACTGTAGAACCGATTGGAACAGAACCGTTATAACTCCGCTCGGTTCGATTCCTACAAATATTAGTTGTTAGCAGTTCGGTTCCTAGACATTATTTACTATTCGGTTCCTTATTAGAAATAGCATGTTTCGAAATAGCTAACTGTTAATGAACAGTTATTAAAAATATGTCCATCTCTCTAAAAGCTAAATAGCATGTTTCAAAATTTTGCTTTTTGTACTAAAAAATGTTGTTATTGAAAATTTGTCAATCATTTTTTATTCTTCCAAAAAAAATCTCCTCATGATCAAAAGCTTGGTCGTAAATCAATTGATATTGCTATACACTTCATAAATTGCAATTTCCAAATGACACGGGAGTAATTGATATTGCAAGCTGCATCATGCATGGGCTAAAACTAAAAGAGCAATAACCAATGAATAGAAAATATTCCAAAAACGCATTAATTTAAAGGCTGAAAGTTTTCAAAGTTAGCAAAATCAGACTCATTTGCAAAGTCATCCATATGTTCCATCTAAAATAAGAATGGTAGAAAGACTGCTCAATACTCATCAGCCTCCTCGTACGAACCGAGGGAAGAATCATAACTAGGTTCTGGACTCCTGTAACTTTCATTTCTTATATGGATCTTCAACCTGCCATTCAGACATAGCAGCTTCTCAAAGTCACATAGGAAAATAGAAACATCATTCATTTCATGGTAATTATTGGTGAATTGATGAAACACCCATGTACATTGTACAATGTTGAGACCCACCAGATTTAACATGAAATATTGACATCCAGTCAACAAAAATGTTGTCATGAAAGGGGAACACACTCACAATAGGCAAATTCAAATAAAAAATGAGCAATCAGTGTAAACCTAACTTTTTATATGTCAACCATAATTTCCAAGTCCCAACAGACGACTACTCTTCAGTCTTTACAGATCCAATAAAATGCATACCAATCACAAGTATTTGTTACGTGGGGGGTTCTGGAGGGAGGGAAGGCCGGATGGGTAGGGTCATATATATTTACTCCATCAGATTATTCTTCCTTTAGAAAGTGGTAAGAACTTAAAGACAAAAAACTATGTCGTACTAATAGAGATAATTTAGCATTACAAACATAAATCCTCCCCTAGTCCCCTACATAATCATCAAATCAAACCTGCCCTAAGGGAATGATTGGTTCAACCAGAGTATAGGTGAGAGGATCCAAGAACCTAATTCCCAAGTCGTGTGAAATGAATGCATTTCATGTCCAAGCAAACACAATATTATTTAATGAAAACTTGTCCTCTGCAAATAGATCGATAATTACTAAACAAAGATTATCATCAATAATTGCCAGAAAATTCAAAATTGAATAGTACGTAGTATAGTATATCGTTTCAAATTTCCAAGTTAGCAACATAACATTATGAGTCTATAGTGCAATTTAAAGTTTTTCTTATCATTGAAACATTTAGGTATAAAACAAAAACAGCAAAAACATAAGTTTATCAACTTCAAAAGCCATCATAAAAATGAAGAGTAACGAGTAATAGGTTTGACCTTGTAATAGTCCTCTTTTTTATCTGTTTTCTCTTCCTCTTCACACCTGTTGAAGTTGAAACAGGTTTACTGTTACTGCCACGGTCGTCGAGGCGGTAGAGGCTTCCAGGACAAACTTGAGAAGAAATGCCCGAGAGGCCATCAACTCTGATCTGCTTCACTGAATTGCTCTCAATATCAACCCAAATAAAACCACCTTCACGTTGTAGGATAACCTGCTTTTTGTTCTTCATATAAGAAACAAGTTTGGGTGATGAAAAGGAGTAAAGGTCAAATGAGAGCAATTTCTTCCAAGGTGTTTCTACTTCATATTCTTGCAACACCCATCCATCAAAATGACACCCCGAGCTTGTGAAGTAACTATAACTCAAAAATAATAACCCACTAATAGCATCCAAATACATATCCATTATCCCTTTGGAGGGTACAGGGGGAAGAGGGGCGCGGCTATATTCTTCAGTAACAAGATCTAGAGTGATAATACTTCGACATACATACCAATGCAATTTCCCATTCACAGAAACTCCATTAACATGATTAGGGATAGTGAAAAAATCAAATGGACAATCCATAATTCTCTTCCAAGAACCCAACTTTAAACTGTAAAGAAGAGTTCTGCAAAGATATTTTTCATCACGGGAAATTGTGTCTAGCCTCACAACTTTGTAGTCATCAGAAGCATGATCATACCCTAAACCTGCAGCAGCAAAGAAAAAAGTAGAACAATCGGGTAGGGGCAACTGATGGCAGTCTCGAGTTAACGGGTTCCAAACCGCCCAAATCTTGTCCATGTCATAAGTAGAAATAAGAACCAAACCATTGCAGGAATTCACAGGAAGGCTCCGTATGCGAGGCACATCAAGGCGAACCAATTGCTTCACGGGAATTGCTTCAATCATCTGGCCGTCACCGTGTAAGTCATCCGTGAATTCTAGCGAGTCAAAATTTATGAGATAAAACGGTGGTGAACCAGAGCCTCTTTTTATGAGAAGAGTGCTTGAGGAGATTTGATTTTGTGTGTGGGCTTTGACGAAAGATGGGTCATCAATGAGGCTGCACCATTCCTTGCAAACACTTCTGAATCGGAAAAGGGAATCCGCTGGCAGGTGAATGAGTATTTGACAGTAGAGTTGAGAAGGGATGTCGGACATTTTCGCAGCAATTAAGAGCCAGAATTGGAAGATGAGTTTCTGATTAGGGTTTACAGTTTTGAAAACTTATAAGAGAAAGTCGAAACCTTTACAAAGAAACAAAGAGGATATTGAACCGCCATTCCTATGATGTTGGGAGCCATGGGAGGGGATGTTCCCGCCTATGAGAAGTGGGCGGTTAGTGTTGGATTGTCTGCTATTGATGTATGCTAATATCGTAGTCTCGTAGATAGTGAAAATAGAAATAAAAATATTCTGCTTAATTGTTGATTTGTTGGTACTTGTGCACTTCTCAATTCTAAGAATTTTGCCTCTACTTAGGTATTAGGAGTGTTTGCATTTGTTTTTTATTTAAAAAAATCAATTTTTGAAGTGATTAACAGTAAAAGTTAATACTTCCTCCGTTCTTTTTTAGTTGTAACAGTCAATATTTCACACTTGCCAACGCACGTCTTTGACTATAATTATTTCTTTATCTCTATTAGTAAAAAATATTTAAAAATAAGATATTGAAAATTTGTAATGAGATGAATTGAACAATATTTTAAAAAAATATACGGGTATAATTTTCATAAAATAATAATAACATAAAATGTAGTCAAAATAGAATATGAGAATAGTGTAAAATTCAACATGTTGCGATTAAAAAGAGACGGAAGATAATAATGTTTAAGGAAAAATTTGATTTTGAAAGGTAAAGAGTGATAGTGTTTGATAAAATATGGACTTTTAGGTAATAGAAAAAGGTAAAAAGAAGATTGTGACTTTTAATCTTTAAGTGTTCAATTTAAGCAGAAGTTATCATTTGAAAATATTCTTTTCAGCTTTTTAAAATCAAAAGATGAGAATCACTTTTTTAAATCTTTTGCAAACATACCTGTTGGATAATTGATACCCATATTGTATAAACAGGAGAATTTGAACAATAATCAAGAAGAAATAATGAGAGAGTATAGAATGAATATTGGTTATATGAGTTACAAGCCTCCTATAAGGAGTATATATAGGGAAAATCCGGGTCTGGGCCTCTAATATGGGCCTGACAGACCCGGTTACATAAATGGACTGATAGTATAAAAAGCTAATCTAGAACATCTGAATAATAACAATAATAATAATGTACAATAATATTAATGATATCCGCTAAACGTGTGTGAGCCGCTGTCCAGGCCTAATAGTCGGCATACCGGGGGGGTTGGAGTCCATATAATCCATCAGGAGTCCCCCACTTCCTGAGTCGAGAGTACTCGAGGCGAAAGGGAGTAGTCGAAACTGTATCTGCAACGTTCTTCCTCTTCGGCCGGGGGACCACAACCCTTGTCCATTATGGGGAGGTGCCTCGTTAAAAACCTTTACTAGGAAAAACCCAGTGGGAAAAAATCCTAATAAAGGGAAAAAGAGTACACCTAGCGCCCCCAACATGAAACAAGGAAGGTAAATCCCCTCCGGCATAATCAATCTAGCTCAGCTCCTCTTCAACTGACTCAGCTCTCGTTCCTGCTCTTGCGTGATATTTTCTGTTCATCTAGAAACTCTGACCCCTCAGTCCCCCAGCCCCCACTCTTTGAGGCGAGTGGAGACGAGGTGAAAATGAGTAAAGTCATCTTCGTACCTACACGTTTATCATACATATAAATTTTTTTCTTGGGATTTATGTTCCCGATCGGGAGTTCGTCACTTGAAACAAGTGGAGATGTGAATTGTTAATGTAATGATAAAATACTTAGTAGAATGGATGTGTGAGCCATTCGTAAGCAACGGTCGCCACTCGAGGAATGACTAAGACCGGTCTTCGTACCCGACTTGGTCGGGGTTTTGTCTTCATGCCCGACTTGGTCGGGGCTTTGTGCCTGAGGAGACAGGACTTTGTGCCTGAGGAGTCAGGGCTTTAAATCCTAGCGATGGGTCTCAAGCCACACTCTACTAGGTATTTGATCATAAGTGCGTGATAGTGTTATGCTCGCCCGACAAAAAATTAATTTAAATAAAAATAAATAATATGAAAATTAAAGAGTACTTATCTTTTTGAAGTGGGCTGATATATTGAACTGTTTAGGCTGAAATATGTTGCTTAAATTGAGGCCCTTTGAACTATTTAGTTAGACCATATATGGCCTGGCACACTGCTTTCCTCTTAGCCCAAAAATCCAACGTGACTTTCTAATTGTTGATCGAAGTCAACTGAAGTTCTTGACCCAGGCCCTTTTGCAAATGATGTGTGCGGGCAGGTCACAAGTGGGCAGGCCCACTGCTACACTCTTGGTCCGTATACTCATTGACCAATTTTTGACCCTGATTTTGCCCAACGTTGAGAGGATAAACCAGACCTGTTCCCATGGACCCATACTAGCTGGAGTTCTGTCACACTAGCTGGATATGTCCCATGAGGAGATGGCAGCAGCTCTACGGTCCTTTGCCATGGACCTACTAGTTGTAGAAGTCTTGTTGGCAGGTCTTAATCTGGCCCTTCATCTCCCGCAGCTGGCAGCAGGTCCGGAGTAAAGTGGAAGGTCGTAGGCCTGGAGATAAGGAAGGCACCTCTTCAGCCCTGTCCTTGATGCTGCCGGAAATGGAGGCGTGTAAGGGAGAGACGACTCCCGGTCGACGAGGCTGGGGGGAAGGAGATCGCTCCTAGTCATGGTTTCTCTTAGAGAGGGAGAAGAAACCCTTGATGTTGCCGTTGACTGGGTCGTGAGCAGAGAGGTCTCACACGGCCATTGGAAATGACTAGGAAGCTGACCATCGTCGCCTGGGCCTTCCTTGAGCTGCGATGGAGACCAGAGCGGTGGCGGAGAGGCCGGGAGTTGGGCGTCGTCGTGAGCGAGATGGCGGATCCCGTACCGGACTCCTGTTCTTCGCCGCTGGCCGTCGAACGCTGGGTCGGTGCGGTCCTGGGCAGAAAACAGCCGGTCAGCAGGCCCTTAAGCCGTCCTTGTGGCGGAGCTGATGTTTGGGGGCGCCCACAGATTCACCCCTGGTTCTCCGGGTGTAGATTCGCGGCGGAGCAAGGTCCTGCTGTGGCGTCGCCGCTAGTGGTGGGCCTGGTTCCAGATTTCCGATGCTTTCCCCGCTCAGCCGGTTCGCACGGTTCTTTCCTTTGACTGGTCCGGTTGACCGACGCAGCTCCTCAGATTGGAAGAGAAGCTCCAGATCTGGAAATTTCCAGATTTTATTATTTCTTCTTTTTTTGTTTGGGATTTTCCAGAACAATTTTGGCTAGATTTTTTCAATATTGGTATGAAATTTTTGGTATTTTGGGGAGGTTTTCTCACTTGATTGTGTTCAACCTCTCAACGAGAGCACCATTGTTGGATAATTGATACCCATATTGTATAAACAGAAGAAATTGAACAAGAGTGAAGAAGAAATGATGAAGAAGAAGGAAATGTGTATAGAATGAGCATTGGTTATATGAGTTACAAGCCTCCTATAAGGAGTATATATAGGGAAAATCCGGGTCTGGGCCTCTAATATGGGCCTGACAGACCCGGTTACATAAATGGACTGATAGTATAAAAAGCTAATCTAGAACATCTGAATAATAACAATAATAATAATGTACAATAATATTAATGATATCCGCTAAACGTGTGTGAGCCGCTGTCCAGGCCTAATAGTCGGCATACCGGGGGGGTTGGAGTCCATATAATCCATCAATACCCTTATATATACAAAATTTATATTTAAACTATTTTTTTATTAAGAATGCTCATGATATATATATATATATATATATATATATATATATAGAGAGAGAGAGAGAGAGAGAGAGAGAGAGAGAGAGAGAAATGCTCACGTCCAGCCGGAGGAACAGGAGCTGCCGTCCGAACTTCGGCGTTTGGGGCGGTTCCCGGTGGAATTTTTTTATGAAATTTTTTGTGCATGTTCATCATCAAGTCTAGTTTATGTATACCAAATTTCAGCTCAAAATTCGATTCGAATGGCACTTAAATCATTTTTTGAAGTTGACTGCGCCGAAATATACTTATAAAAACGCAGTCAACTTCAAAAAATGATTTGACTGCCTTTCCAATCGCATTTAGAGCTGAAATTTGGTATGGATAAATTAGACCTGATGAGGAACATGCTAAAAAAATTTCATCAAAATATTCCATTGGGAACTACCCCAAATGTCGAATTTCGGACGGAAGCTCCCGTCCCTCCGGCTGGAGGTGAGCATCTCTCTCTCTCTCTCTCTCTCTCTCTCTCTCTATATATATATATATATATATATATATATATATATATATATATATATATATATATATATGTTCATAAGAGGAAGCGGTCCAGCCCAGCTGGTCGCCGACTCACTCTCCCTTACGAGAGGTCTCGGGTAGGGGTGGGCGCGGTCTGGTTCGGTCCAATATTTGGCCGGACCCGTACCCGTACCGTTACTATTCAAATGGTTTGGTTCAGTTCGGTCTTAGATCTAAACCCGTTCGGTACGGTTTCATTTTCAAACGGGACGGTACCACGTCATACCAATACCAAACAATGCCACTTTTTCCAAGTGTTTAAGAGGAAATTAAAGTTTAGCCATTCTCCAAAAATCCACACAATTTATCAATTTTCATACTCCCTCCATCACAAATTGACATGCAAAGTCAATATTATTTGATCAACCAATGTTAAAGTTAAATTCTATTTATTGATAATTAATTCAATTTTTTACAATTAAAATTTATATATTCAGAAACTACATTAAAATATCTTTAAAGTTTCAAGCCCCAAATTAAATATAATTAAAAATTGACATTCTAATTAAGTGAATAGAATGAAACTGTTCGAATAAGAAAAGTTAAATTTTAAAATCAATTTGGGATGGAGGTAGTATTACATAATTAATAAATTTTGATAAACTACAGTAATACAAATTTAAACAATTAAACTATACATCAGTCCAAATCCAGACTTCTATGAACTAGCAAAGGCGGTGAAAGTGTGAAGACACTAGTCTAAGTAATAGTATAAATGTAAATTTAAATAATTAAACATACTTCGGTTCGGTCCGGTCCGGTACCGGTTCTCATTTTATAAGAACCGGTCATGGCATTGTTTAGAACCGGTACGGTACGGTCCGGGACAAAAAAATTCGAGATCCGTTTCAAACCCCGTTTCTCGGTCCGGTACCATACCGGTTCGGTTCGGTACCATGCCGGTTCGGTATTTTTGCCCACCCCTAGTCTCGGGTTCGAAACTCAATGGAGTGAGTTTCAGC